ACAGCACTTGTAAAATAACAAGTCGAAAACAGATGGATAAGTTATTTTTGTTATATTTTAATATATTTTTTCTCCGTAAATATTTTCTAATTTTAAGTCCAAACAAATGGAATATCAAATACCTTATTCATTATTTCAAAAAATGTCAAAATGCATAGAAATAGATGGAAAAAAAAAAAAAAAAAAAAAAAAAAAAAAAAAAAAACACCTTGACACTTTTATATGTAGTATGTATATGTATATATAATTTATTTAGAAGGTAATTCTTGATGCGATCGAGAAATTGATGTCAGGATATGAATTGATATATTAAACTAACGATTTTTTTAAAATATAATTGGAATTTGGATGGGCAATCAACAATTAATTACTTAGATGGGGAGTATTAATTATGTAGTGTGTCATAAAAATTGAAATATTGCACACATTAGGAAGATCACTTTCGTGTGGTCTCTGAAAAAAAAAAAATAATATATATATGTGTGTGTGTGTGTAACATATCTGATACATTCTTCAAATTTCATATATTTTATTATAAAAAGGGTGAAAAATGTATAGAAACTAAAAAAAAGTGAGTACTTTTATACATAGTATATATTTAGAGATAATATAATTTTAAGATTTTTTATTAATAAAAAATAAAAAAATATTAAGAAATTAGGCAGACTCTTTTTGTGAAAAAAAAAATTCAAAAATGTTAAGAAATTAGCAACACTTTTAGAATAGGTAACATATCAGATAGATTCTTCAAATTTCATATATTTTATTAAAAAAAAGATGAAAAATGTATAGAAACATTTAAAAAAAGTCGTGTACTTTTATATGTAGTACATATTTAGAGATAATATAATTTTAAATTTTTTATTTTTAAAAAATAAAAAAATATTAAGAAATTAGACAAAGGCATCTTGCACTTTTATACGTTGTATATATTTATAGATAATTTAATTTAGAATGTAATTGGAAATCAATTCAAGCTTATTTCCTCTTGAATCTTTTTTATAAAAACAAAAAAAACAAAACTAAAACAAAGAAAAAGATTCAAAATAATTTACATTAAAAACTAATTAGACATGGTTCTATGGTAACACTCATGGAACAAAGAGAAACAAATTAATAAAGAATAAGGCACACGAATAATGTAAATAAAAAAGATGTCAATTAAAACCAACATACCGCTATTGATTAATCCAAATCCAAAATGCACGAAAACATGAGAAAGTGGGTATATCAAACTACTATTATTAGTCAAGTTTCAATTCATATTTTAAAATAGAATTTGTAAAATGATAATCAAATGAAGAGTTGAGCCAAGTAATCACCTTTCACTTTATTCACTTTGTTTGAAGCACCTTCCATATAAATAAAAAAAAACTACAACAATTTTATTAAGGAGATGATACCAATGTACCACACATAAAATGGTTGAGTAAAAACACAGATTTTACAGAAATTAACAATAAGAAGCTATACAAATAAATGATGTTGAAAACTATGGATGCATTTGCATGCTTGCATGCATGTTATATATAGATATAATAGAAAATGGTAAGTCACTTGAGAATTTTTGGGTAGCTGAACTATTTAATTCAATTCATTTGAATTAAAAACCATAAAAATAGTATTTAAAACATTTAATGAAAATATTTGCGAGTTTAAAGCTTTTTGAAACTGATGGGCTATTTAATTTATTTGAATTAAATTATTATGTGTTTTAATTAATGAGACTTTTTATTTGAGAAAAATAACATACGAAATATCAAATACCTTATTCATTATTGCGAAAAAGGTCAAAATGTTTAGAAACAGAAGGAAGGAAAAAAAAAAAAAAAAAAAAACCTTGGCACTTTTATATGTAGTATGCATATGTATATATATGTGTGTTTGTGTGTGTATAGATAATTTATTTAGAAAGTAAATCTTGATGCAATGGAGAAAATGATGTCACGAATTTTTTAAAATATAATTGGAATTTGGATGGGCAATCAATAATTAATTACTTAGATGGGGAGTATTAATTATGTAGTGTGTCATAAAAACTGAAATATTGCACACATTAGGAATGTCACTTTAGTCTGATCTTTTCAAATTTCACATTCTGAAAAAGAAAAAATATATACCACATAAGAAAATCTTGTACTTTTATAGTAGTATATATTTAGACATAATATAATTTTAAGATTTTTTATTTTTAAAAATAAAAATATATATATTAAGAAATTAGATAGAGGCATCTTTCACTTTTATACTTAGTATATATTTATACATAATTTAATTTAGAAGGTAATAATTCTTAATGAATGTCTTCCATGAAAAAGAAACGTTTTTAAATATAATTGAAATTTGGATGGGCAATCAATAATTAATTACTTAGGGCCTGTTTGATTTCCTAATTCAGCGCTAAATGCAGAACACGGTAAGTGATTTTTAAAAATAAGTTATTAACATGGTAAGTACCGCTTAAAAGAGGCCAAAATTTTAAGCGTGAGGAAGGATAACTTATCGCTTATCGCAGAACACAATAAGTGGTTGGGTTTAAAAAATAACTTTTTAATGACTACTCTACCCTCATATAATTGTGTTATCTCTTTTAGGGTTTCTCTCTGCAATTTTTCTAATGAAAATGAATTACATGTAACAAATTCCAAAAAAATAAAAAACATAATTATACCTAATATATTTTAATTTTTAAACACGTATATAGCTTTTTGTTACCATTTATATTGATTCACTCTAAAAAATAATTATTTATATAACAGAATTCTATTCAATTTCACGTACTTTCTTTAATATTTTTAATACTATTTTTATACCCACACCATTTTTATACCCTACAAAAATATTATGTAATTATTTATATAATAGAATTCTATTATCAGAGAAGAATTGTCTTTCACATACTTTCTTAACACTCTTTTCAATACTCTACCATGTAATCCAAAATCCATATATTTTAAATTTTTCTTTCTTTAATCTTTTGTAACATTCTTTTTGATATCCAAAACCTATATACTTTAAATTTTTATTAATTATTTATATAATAGAATTAATTTTTTATTTTTATTTTTTTGTTAATCGTGGGTGTCCGAGTCAGCTTGCGCGCTCCTCGACTAATCCCACGAGGCCCTGAAAATATATAATAGAATTATGTTCCTAGATAAGAATTCTTTTTCACTTTCCTTAATTTTTGTAACACAATTTTTAATACCCTACATAAATATTATGTAATTCAAAACACATATATTTTAAATTTTACTTTCTTTAATTTCTGTAACACCATACCTACATAAATATTATGTAATCCAAAACCAATAGATTTAAAATTTCCTTCAAATATTTATATAATAGAATTTTATTCCTAAATAATTCTTTTTCAAGTATTTTCCTTAATCTTTGTAACACCTTTTTCAATATCCTACCTAAATATTATTCAATCCAAAACTCATATATTTTAAATATTATGTAATACAAAATCTATATATTTATTTATTTCATTGAGTGAATATGGTTGTTTTATTAATATTTTGGTATTATAAATATAAAACTGTTATGAGTATTAGATATTGAGAGCAAAAATGTAATATGTATAACTTTTAAACTTCAGCTTTTATATATAACAAACAATTTTAATGAATTCAGCACTTAAAATTAAAATGTAATCAAACAGGTTTTCAAATTAATACATTCAGTACTTAAAGTTTCAGCCCTTAAAATTCAACTTGAAATTTTCAATGCTTAATTTTCAGTTTTATCAAAGAGCACCTTAGTTCCATCTATGGGGAGTATTAATTATGTAGTGTGTCATAAAAACTGAAAAATGCACACATTAGGAAGGTCACTTTGGTGTGGTCTCTTCAAATTTCACATTATGAAAAAGAAAAAATATATAACATATCAAAAAATCTTGTACTTTTATAGTAGTATATATTTAAAGATAATATAATTTTAAGTTTTTTATTTTTAAAAAATAAAAAATATATATTAATAAATTAGATAGAGGTATATTTCACTTTTATACTTAGTATATATTTATACATAATTTAATTTAGAAGGTAATAATTCTTAATTAACGTCTTCCATGAAAAAGAAACGTTTAGGTAATAATATTAATAACAATAATTTGTGAATGATTGTGCGCTTTTAATGTCACTGTTTTTGTGGGGAATAAAAAATTCAAAAATGTTAAGAAATTAGCTACACTTTTAGAATAGTGTATAAATAGACATATAGATATAAAGATAGATATAGATATAGATATAAGGTAATAACTCTTAATCAACGTCTTCCATGAAAAAGAAACGTTTAGGTAATAATATTAATAACAATAATTTGTGAATGATTGTGCGCTTTTAATGTGATTGTTTTTGTGGAAAAAAAAATGAAAAAATGTTAAGAAATTAGCTACACTTTTAGAATTTGTTAAGAATAATAATAATATTAATAACAATAATTTGTGAATGATTAGATAGTATAGATATAGATAGAAGGTAATAACTCTTAATTAACATGAAAAAGAAATGGTTTAGGTAATAATATTAATAACAATAATTTGTGAATGATTGTGCGCTTTTAATGTGACTATTTTTGTGGAAAAAAAAAATTAAAAAATGTTAAGAAATTAGCTCTACTTTTAGAATAGATATATAGATGGATAGATTTATATAGATATATATGATATATACATATATATAGAAAGAGAGAGAGGGGTTAGTTATTACCATTCAAAGCATGCCAAGATCAAGAGCCACCTCAGCATGCAAGATAATGTCCATTAAAGAATCCCAGCCTACCCGCCTAGTCCTTCTCTTGAGTCCAACCCTCTCAAGATCCAAGTCCCACGTAGCATCTCAAAGTCTTGACCAAGGTTTCTCCATTTGCCAAGTGGCATCACACTGACACTCGTACAAGTCCACACACACCTATACATCTATATATATGTGTGTGGGCAGAGAAACACAGCACCAAGAAACACTAACACCAGAGACAAATTACAGATGACCATGGCATTGTCCACTTCCACAACCACCACCACCACCTTCTCAATGATCACATTATTCATCTTCTTCCTCCTCTTCCCTACTTCTTTCTCACACCAACTCTTCATAAACTGTCATTCCTGCATACCCCAACCAGATTCTGATCTCTTAGAGTTTCCTCTAAATTTAGAGTACTTGGAAGCAGAGTTTTTCTTGTGGGGCTCTTTGGGTTATGGCCTGGATAGGATTGAACCAAATCTAACCATGGGAGGCCCACCACCAATTGGGGCTAAAATGGCTAAATTGGACCCTTTGACAAGGGATATTATTACCCAATTCTCTTATCAAGAAGTTGGACATTTGAAGTATGTCAATCTAAACTCTCACTTTTCTCTAATTATTGCATATATTTTCATTAGAAATGTCAATCTAAACTCTCACTTTTCTCTAATTATTGCATATATTTTCATTAGAAAATTTTCTCCTATTTTTCAAATTTAAAAAAATAATTAATCTGAAGTCGGACACAACTCAGTGTTTACATTATTTCTGTTACATGTGTCGGACTTTCGAATTCTGTATCACAATTCTTAAATTTAATTAGCACAATCTTGACTAGTGATCAATTTTAGCAGCATATGTCACACTTGATATGGTGTGTGTAGATCTATATAAATGCACCTATATATATATATATATATATATATATATATATTGTTGAGTTATAAATGAAAGGATTGGTGACTTTTTGAACGCAGGGCGATTAAGAAAACAGTGAGAGGATTTCCAAGGCCATTGCTGAACTTAAGCGCAGAAGCGTTTGCAAACGTGATGAACAATGCATTTGGACGAGCCTTGGTTCCACCATTTGATCCTTATGCCAATGAAATTAACTACCTACTTGCATCTTATGTTATTCCTTATGTTGGTCTCACTGGTTATGTTGGAGCAAACCCTAAACTCCAAAGTTCTACTTCCAAAAGGGTATGCCCCTATCTCACTAATCGATCTGCTGCCATTAATATTATTGTTGTCACCAATTTTCTTCTTAATCCAGCCATGTGTCACATTCTTCAAAGAGTTTCAACTTTCAACATACAGCATCAAAAAGATAATAACTTAAAATGAAATATCTACAAAGCCTTTTCAAAGCATATAATTGTTAAAACTTTTTGTGTGGTGCAAATATATATATATATATATATTTCAGCTTGTGGCGGGGCTTTTGGCAGTGGAATCAGGCCAAGATGCAGTTATCAGAGCAATGCTTTACGAGCGGGCTGGATTGAAGGTACAACCTTATGGAATCACTGTTGCAGAGTTCACCAACCGGATTTCGGAGTTGAGGAATAAGCTTGGACATGCAGGATTGAAAGACGAAGGGCTTAGCGTCCCCATGGTTCAAGGAGCCGAGGGAAAAACTAGGGGCAATGTACTCGCTGGGAATAAAAACTCTCTTGGGTATGGCAGAACACCTGAGGAGATACTACGAATTGTGTATGGCAGCGGAAATGAGCATACCCCTGGTGGCTTCTATCCCAAGGGAGCAGATGGTAATATCGCCCGATCACATTTGAAGCAAACTTAAGCCGTTAGAGAGGATGGTTTATTTATGTTAGCTAGTGATGTTAATGTGTTTGGAGTTTGTTTAGCCTATCTTATATAACAAAAATAAATGTTCTTCATTATGAAATTAAATTGATATTATGCTTTCTTGTCTTTTATTGCGTGGTATACAAAGTTCTATAAGAGATACCTGGTTCACTTAATTTAGTTAGCTAAATTTATAGCTTCTTTTGGTCGTCCGGAACATTCACTTGTCCTTTAAAAGTATGGTCAATTAATTTGACTAAAGTAGGTTTCGTGCAACAATATATATATATATATATATATATATATATATATATATGTATGTGATAATGGACATAGTATTGATGCTTGTAGCAATTCATTTATGTGTTCGTCGCAAATTTTGATATAATAATGATTCCAAATTGGATTAGTATCAGAGAGTGAAATCATATCACTCGCATCAACGCTTGGACTGTCTGTCTTTACTTAATTGTATGATGGACCTTGTTTTGTTTTGGACCTTTCCCCCTTGTAAGGCTTGTTAGCCCATTAAATAGGTCACCTGTAACCACCATTACTTACGTATATACAAATCGCTTGAATTTTGATAAGAAAAAATAAGAAAATAAATTGCATCTCTTTTGTGTGTGTGTGTGTGTGTAGATGGATTTGGCAAACACTAAAAAAAAAAAATCACTTTCAATTGTTACAAATTTTAGCTTAATAAAGTTATTGATTGAAGTTAGAATTTTGAAAATTTAAAATTGTTTTTCAAACAGACATGGGGTTGTATATATAATGTTATTGTACTCGCACACACCTTTCAAGAAATTGTTTGCATTTAAGAGGAGGATTCGAAACTTAAGACTTGATGGCACTAAATCCAATCCCCTTAATTATTATAAAATTAGTAATAGGATTGTTTTAAAAAATATTGTTACTAAATAAATTTAAAAATTAATAATCTAATTAGGCAATGTCAATTAAATTTAGACAATGAAAAAAAATTATATGAAAAAGAAAACAACTCTGCCTCATCTGGGCCGAATTCGTTCCGTTTACCATTCTACTATATCTTAACAATCAAAATTGACAATAAGAATAGAACCTCAATGATAAAAACAGATGAACTGTATGGTGATTTTTTTGCAATTGTGCCTTTATATGTCACCACTTTCTTGGCTTATGCTTCTGTAGAATGGTGCAAACTTTTTTCCTCTAACAAGAATTTCTTATGTTATCAAATGGAAACAGAAAAGCCAAAATATTAAATAATCAGGAATTGGACTGATGGTATTATCTTAGAGGTACCCAAACAGGAGGGTTAATTTGTGATCTTAGACGGTTTTTTTTTAATTAATTAATGTCATGAAGTGAAATTATTTTCGTTATTGAAGAAAATTAATAACTTTATTAAATTGGTAAGAGTTGAACAATCAATTAATTGGGCTTTAGGATCCATGGCTTGGGTGGGCCTGTAAGATCCACTCTTACATAACTACATGTATTAGCCTAAGCTGACAAATATATGTATACATCGGGTAAAGTGCCAAAAAAAAAAAAAAAAAACCCCTTTAACTATTGGTCATATAGCAAAAAACTACTGATCTACTAATTTGGTATATAACCCCTTTGAACTAATCAATTTGGTGCAATCAACCCTATCCGGTAATAAGCCGGTTAAATTTGACCATGAAGACGCACATGATGGGTCACGTGACAATCCAAATTTCTTTAAATGACCATACAACCCTTTATGAAGCTAAAAGACCATAATGCCCTTTTGATTACCATTAAATCCCAACCAAACATTGCCCTATGGTCAGAACCCTTAAATTGTCTCATTGTTTATCTTCCTCGATCAGCCACAGCTTAGGTGAAAGAAATGTGTTTATCCATCGATATTGATACCCCAAATCTAAATATATATATATCATTCAATCAAGAGTTATTTGAAGCTTTGCTTTGTCTCTCTGATTTTTTTTTTTGGCAAATAATGAGCTCCATTGGTGAATCCTCAGCAATGGAGTTCGTAGAGATATACAACAAAGTTGGGATTTGAAGCACGTTGTCCTCATCATTGAACTTCATGTCACACCGGCTGACTTAGTGATTTGGCAGAATACACCCAACCCTTTCCTGAAAAATGTTCTGTATGTGTGTGTACTAGTGCTCGAATTTTGGATTGGAGTAGGTGGAGGATGAGGATTTGTGGATTCAAAACTTGAGTGAAATAATGCAAGCAAATGTGGGTATAACATATTTTTTTCTACATTCAGGTTTTCAATTGCCTCCTTCCCAGGTCTTAATGGTTCAAAAAACTGGAGCGCAAGTCTTTACCTGGGCTTGTTTGATCAAATAGCTTTTGAAGCACAAACAGAGGCAGTTGGTTTTCGAGCATCAGTAGATCACGACCAAGATTCTGTGGCAACGAATTGCAAAAATAGGATCATCTGCAAGCTCTTTCTGCATATATTATGTATATGTTAGAATTAATTAAGAATAATAATGATTTCGTAGACTTTACTATCAAACTATTAATTTATATAAGAGCAAAAATTAATTAGTATTACCTTGTAACTCATGCCACTCAGGCGCAGTAGCTCCACTACGAAGCAACCATCAAGTACCATCATGGTTACAAATAAACGTATAATAGTTGAGAGAAAAAATCGTATTATGTACATTACATTTACAAATTAACGTATTAAAGTTGAGAGCCTTACTGATTAAATAACTCTTGAGAGATCGAAAATCCATTTAGCCAAAGCTTTCTTCAGTTCTCTAAGCTTCACGTGGATAGATGTGATAAGGTTGGTGATAAGGGTGGTCTATGTTGTCAATATTTTAAGTGGTTGTTGAAATTACACCCTCCATGTCAGACCATGGTGATAAGGTTGATTTTTGTTGTTGAGAATTTAACTGAAACGATGCAGTTTTTATAAGGGTAAAATTGTCTTTCACTATTTTCGTTTTTACCAATTGGCCGGAGATATCACATTGAAGGTTGCACCAAATTCAATAGTTCAGGGAACAAATTGTAATTCAGGGGGGTTAATTACACATGGCAAATAGTTGAAGGGAATTTTTTTGTACTTTACCCTATATAATATTATATATTTATACACATGGGTGCATGCATTAAAAGAGTTGGGTTTTAAATTCTTACACGTGTGTAGAAATTTGGAGTAGAAAAAGAGTTCCTTAATATGGAGTGGTTGTAATATATTTATAAAATTATAGAGAGTTTTGTAGATATATAATACTGGAGTAGAGAGGTTTGTGGAGCAGATCTCAATCATTGATTATAATTAACTACTAGAGTAGAAATTATTAAGCCAGCATTAGCTTCCAATAAGGCTAGGAAAGTATGTTTGAGTAAATAGTGCCAACAAAAAATGGCGAAAGCATTGTTACTATATCGGGCAATAATAATACAAATGGGATGGGTTTATCCGAACGTTCTATAAAAGTTCTATGTGAAAACATTGTTTATCACATAATTTTTTTTTTTTTTTTTTCGTGGAAAAAATTTCCCATTTTTGTTTATATATATAGTACACATAAGGGTAAAAGTGTAAATATCTTTTTTCTTTTTTCGTGGCAAAAATTCCCGCTTTTTGTTTATGTACTATATATAATACAATCACATGCAGGTGACATACAGTAAATCAAAGTTAGGTTAGCTTCGGACACGTGGAGAGTAAAAGTAATTTTTATGAGAGAGGTATGCTCCACTATTTTCCAAGTTCACTAACAGTACGGACTCAATTCAGACTTGCTTATTATAAACAAGTTTGGTTCCATTAATTTTTAAGTTGGTTTAGAAAACGAGCCCTCAATTTGTGACTCCGCCTTATACATCTAATTGGGGCGGAGTCTCAAATTCAGGGCTCGTTTTCTAAACTAACTTAAAAATCAATGGAACCCAAACTTGTTTATAAAAAGCAAGTCTGAATTGAACCTGAACTGTCCATACTGTTAGTGAACTTGGAAAATAGTGGAGCAAACCTCTCTCATAATTACTTTTACTCTCCACGTGTCCGAAGCTAACCTAACGTTGATTTACTGTAAATCACCTGCATGTGATTGTTCCACTTCCCTCCCACAACCATCCAAAAAACCCACCCAAAAGCACCACTCCCTCTCCGTCTCTCTCTCTCTCTCTCTCTCTCTCTATATATACATATATATAGACACAGACATACACATGGAGACTTCTCTTCCGTCTCTCACATTCCGAAAATCTACCTCAATTTTCACTCTTGCTAAACCAGTAAACCACCTAGCACCATTAATTTCTAAACAACTTCAAAAACCATACTCTTTCTCTCTCTAAAACGGAAATCTCATCCTTTCTCTCTCTGCCAGGAGATGCAATATGCGAACGCTCGTTCGTCGCGTTTTTTGTCAGTTGGTGCGGCAAATGCATCCAAAACGAAACCGTTACTTTTCGCCTTTTCTCTATCCGTCGCAGTGTCGAAAGGAAGGGATGGAAAAAGAAACAAAAACGAAATGGAAATGACTGATATATACTTTTGTTCTTTATGTTGTGTGTTTATTTATGTTGTGTTTCGTAATTGTTATTTTTTTTGCCATGTTAGTCATACCAGTTATGAAGTAATTTTACCTTTTAAGACAACTTATGGGTGTGTCTTTCTTATTTTAGAGATATATATTCAAACATTTATTTACTTATTTATTTTCGCCCCCATCTATAGGAATGAAAGAAAAATCATGGTGATTTTTTGAGATAGATTAGGAATGAAAGAAAAATCATGGTGATTTTTTGAGATAGATTATTGAGAGTCCATTCTATGGAGGATAAAGAGATTCGACTTAAAATCCAAATATATATATATATATATATATATACATTGTTCACTCTTAAATTTTGACCGTTAGATATAACAAAATAAATTATTTTTTTACTGCTCACTAAAAAATAAGTGAACAATTCTGTATACATATATAAACCTTTTCCATGTGACTGTTTAACACTTTTTGTTGTGGAGGTAGTTAAAAAGCCAACTGATGATAAATTAATAAGTATGCTCTGCTGGTTACCTAAACAAAACACAATGGGGAGAAGCCCAGGCCCAACCTAGAGGTAGAGCCCCAATTAGATGCATATAACATATAAAACTTATATAACATTCCAAGTAGCAATTCCCACAAGTAAACAAACTCATAATTTAAGCCGAGTCCCTACAATCGATCTTCAAAGGAGGACCTACAATCGATCTTCAAGTGCGGAAACCACCTACATCTTCCGACCACAGTACTGAGACAAAGTTTCCTCGTAGAAGCTACAATAATTATAATCACCACCACTTCCATGATCACTGACACACTGCAATCACAACAAAGAAAAACCAAACAGCAGTTGTAAACCACTATTTCCCACACAAATGCTAAAGATAGATTACAAAGGATGAAGAAGAATCAAGTTGGTATTATTTGATTGACAATGAGAATAAAAACTATTACACGGTGTACACACTTGTAATGTCCTCCCTTTCTTTCGGAAGCCATGCAAGCATTTTATCGACTTTTTATAACAGATTTCAGCAAGATCCAAGTTGATATAGATGTAACTGAAGCATAGTCAAAAGTATAACATTTGTTGCAACAGGAAACATATCAGTGGACACCGTCCACATGCAATCCAATATAAAAAGAGTGGATGATCATCGTATTTAACTCCGTCCACATGGAATTCTTACAGAAGAAATCAATCTATTCAAATCATCCAAAGAGAAGATAACTAGGGAGTGTGTGATGTAGCTTAAACCTGATCTTCATATAAAAAGACTGTAAAAGCTTTTCCACCAATGAAAAAAGCTTTTAGCAAACAGTACAAAGGTAAAGTAAAGATGCTCATATTGAGGAAATGCATTTATACTAATAAAAAATAAAATGAAATTACAGATGAATAACCCATCCATGTCCTTTGAACCACAACAGCTGCAATATAAGCACTCAAAAGTCACGAATACATATAGCAACACAAGGGTTCATAACCTTATAGTTCATTATTTATCCAAAAAATAAACTATAAACTTAGTAGTTCATTGCTTCCTTTTCTCTTTGCAACAAACAAGGGTTAAACAGACACAATACCATGGCCATAAAAACGTGTTAATTAAATTAGCATATACAAGACTCTTCAAGAATATAACTTCACATAATAAAGAGGAAATGTTATTATTGATCACCAGACATTCCTAGAGATACTAAATAATCAACCATGCAAGTAGTTCACTTATCAAATCTCAACACTACCAACAAAACTTCAAGTAGTCACAGATTGCATTACCTTTGCAATCCGTGACTAGTATATTAATGTTTCAAGTAGCCAAAATATAAGTAATCCTTTTACTGTGTACTTTCACTCTGATTGATTTGTTCATTAACAGAATATTACTTATTGGTAAAAGGTAAATAGCAGATCGTAGTGAATAATTAGCAATAGATATGAAGATAAAACAAAAGTTGTCACTCAAAATTGAAGTTCAACAGAATTCCAGAACTATCTATGAGTTCATCAACCAGATGGCACTACTCTTAGCTTGGAATTGCTTAGGTAATGATGAACTAACACAATTTATCAAGGTAAAAAACACATACTTTGCTTTAGGTTTGGGTAAATATCACACGCATAGAAGAATAGCCTTTATTACACTATATACCCCCGAGGTTTGGCGTGTGTGCTCAATGATATTTCTCCCATCAACTTGCCATTAGAACCATCAAAAAAATTTATATAATAACTTAATTGCCTTGGCCTTACGTAAAAAGATATTAATAGCCTAAAATTTTAATCTTAAACTCTTTTCATATAATGCCAAAATTACCCCCATACCAATAATACCTTTTCCTCTAGCACAATCTCCTTTACAGTTCTCTTAAATTTTCACTCCGACCACTAACGACAATTTCAAAGTTTACATTTGCTCATAGAATTTCAGATCTAATGAGATTATTATTATTATTAACAATACGATTTGCATTTGTTTCTTGATCATCTGGATAGTATTTCATTCCTTTTTTTTATACGGGAGTCTACTGCTTCATAGTCTTTCAAACGAAGTTGCCTCTCATCAACAAGGGAATAATAGTGATAATGGTGGTGATGATCAAGGTGAGAATATAATATATATGCAAATACACAAACCACTGCGAATGAATTGAGGGAGGAGTCAGAGAGACTTGCAGTTGCAGGGCCACACTCACTGCTATGCATTTCGATTGTTTTAGAGAATTTTGGGGGGGGGGGGGGGGTGTTCATGGAGTTGGTTGCATAGAGAGAGAGAGGGAGAGAGCCATACTCGTTTCAAAAAAATTCAAGTGGTTGTTCCATGATACAGAAGTCTACATCTGTAATTGCCAACAACACACTCTCTAGTAGTCTAGCTCCATACCCGCAATTAGCAACAACTAAATCAGAATTAAATTTCCACCAAAATCATCTCTTTTAAAGGCTAGAAGTTCTCCAAAATTGAGAAGAAAAATTCAAAAAAAAAAAAAAAGAAGAAAAGATCTTAAATAACAAAACCCAAATTGGAACAAATATATTAAGGAAAACTACAATGACCTCCCCTGAGGGGTTTGGACTCGTTGCAACTAAACATGAGGTTTGCCATTTTGTTGCAAAGACACCCCAATGTCAGATTTGGTTATGAATTTACTTATATACCCTCATTATTGTATTACTAAAAATGGAGAAAATATCTAGGAATAGAAAATAACCTGTTTGCCCACTAATATTTGTCCAAAAAAAATATTTCCATTTTTTCTCTTTTCCCACTATTCATCTCCTTCTCTTTTATCTCCATCTCTACAGCAGCTCATTACCACCGCCTCGTTCACCACGGCGATCAGAATCTCGCCCTTGATTTCAAGTCTCTCTCTCTTTCTAACCTCTCTCTGTAACACAAATATCACCACTGCCCACAACGGAATCGACAGCGGTCCAAACGTCATGATAAGCTTCATGCTTATATATCTTGTCCCAAACAATTTACACTAACAAACCATAACAACGACCACAGGAAACTCCTAGTGACGACCAGAGGTGGCTCAACGTCGGCGATGAGAAACTGACGATGGTGACAATGGATTCCAACAATAAAAGAGCAGTGATGATGAACTATTAGCGGCATGACTGAACGGTGCGCAAGCTTCTGACCGGCGCACAAGCTTCTGATCGGCAAGCAAGGATTCACAATTTTGGCAAGACTGTTCACTGTAGTTTGATTGGGTATGGGTTTGGTGACTGGTTTGTACAACTAAGGTTAGGTTTTGGTTCGTAGTTTGGTATAAGGTTTAGGGACGGTTTGTGAGTTTTTAGATTCGAGTGTGAATGGTATTGTCGGAATTTTTTGCAAGAGTGAGAGGTTTTGGGTGGGTTATGGGGTTGTTTGTAGTAGGCGATAATGGGTGGTGGTGATGGACTTCAACGACGTCTCAGTCGGCCAAGCTTTCCGGTGAGCTCTATTGATTCCGGTGATGGAGTGGGTTTGTCTTGAACACATTGATGGAGTTAGGTCTCCTCACTTTCAAACATGACCCATCTTTGAGGTACAGAGGAGCTCAAGAGTTCCTCAGATGATGAAGAGTTATAGCGCTGATGAGGGAGCCATCGACCTCTTCGACCAACGCCACCGCTGACCAACTACCACTCTCTCTCTATAACCCATCTTCAAGACTTCAACTACCCCATCTCCATGTATTTTCTCCAACCCAAAACCCAATTAATAACGTAACAGAAAATCCCCAAAAGCTATGTAGTCAGGGACAGTGATGGAGAGAGGGACGCACAATACATTAATATTGTCACTCATTTACTAAAAAGGGGTATTTTGGTCCACTAATGCATGGTTATTTTGTTATTTCATGACACTTTAAGAGTAATACACTCTTTTAGACTTAATTGATGGGTATTTTGGTCACTTTAACTATTTTTTCTGACAAAAAGGACTGTTTGGGAGGTCTTTGCAAAAATAGGCAAACCTCAAGGGAACACGTTATTACAAAATGGCAAACCTTAGGTTTAGTTGTAATTAGTCCAAACCTCAGGGGAGATAGTTGTAGTTTACCCAATATATTATATAGGTACCCTACAAAATATGCGCTCTTACTATTTTAAAATATGGCAGTGGGAGACGGTGGCAGCAAGAGGTGGAGAGGAGGGAGATGGTGTGGTGGTGGCAATGGTGGTGGAAGAGGCAGGATGAGGTTGCAGTGGTGGAAGAGGCAGGATGAGGTTGCAGTGGTGGGTGGAGGTGATGGCACTAGAAGGAGATGGCAAGAGAAGGATGTCAAGAGAGAGGTGGTCACAGTGGAGGAGGTGGTTGTGGAAGTGGTGGGACAAGATGGCGGTGGTGGAAGGAGGGAGAGAGGAAAGACAAAAATGGAAAGAGGGACTAGATAGGAGAGAGAGAATTAGAGTTTTGACACAAGTGTCGTAATGTGTAGGGGTTGTTTAGTCATTTCACTTCTGATGATCTTTTGCATTATAATAATATCTAGAACCTAAGGATAAAAAGGCCACAGGGATACATAGTCTCATTAAGTCCATTCTTTTATGCTGTGTCCATGTGTAAATACCCTAAACCTCATAAGAGGTCAGTGTATTTTAACCAATTGTTTAGAAAATAACTATAAAACAAGTAAATGACAAACACCCCATGAGGTTTTGAAGGATGTCAAGATTTATTTAATTACAGAGACCCCTTCGATCGTTAGTCAACAAACTGCTGCTTATGCACTGCAGCTATTTAATAGTTATTTACATGAAAAAATGAGGATAAGAAAAAAGGCCTAAATACCCCTTTGCAACTCAGCTATTCCATTACAACTTTACTCTTCACAATCACTACAAATTTACTCTTAAACCCTCTCTTCAGACTCATTCTCTCACAATCTTAGGAGATCAAGACTGAAGCAGACTCGCTAGGATTTGCCACCCCAACGCAGCCACCATTGACCTGAAAGGTGCGCAGGTCAACGAGCTCATGAATATTTGCGCCGCATATTCTAATCCAAAGATGTTTGAGACATCAACTACTTGGTTCAAATTCAAGAATTTTGTCTTCTCTACCAACAAAAATTGAAGGATTTCACGGTTACAATCTTTAGAATCGAGAGATAGACCAGTGTTTATAGTGAGTTGACTCACCTTCTTCAGTTGGGCAATCAATAAAGCAAAGCAGAAGAATGGACCTTTTCTCATTCTTTCTATTTTCTCACTCTATTTTTTTGGTTTTTTTCAGGTCCCTTCTTTCTCTTTCTAAGATGGTGACCGTCACTGGCTAACAAGACCGCGTTGGCCCCTCTGCCCCCATATCCAAAGACATCACAGTTGTTCCCCAAAGTTCAAAATAGTACCAACATCTGTAAATTTTATCGTTGTGTCTTGTGCCTCAAATTATAATCTAATTAGGTTTCTATTTTAGAGTGGTATTTCATCCGTGAATGTAGGCCAGTTTTGGCCGAACCCCGTTATATCTTTTGTTTGTGTGTGATTGTTTTGTTGGCTTTCATTGGATCTTGATATTCGCACGCTTTTGCTATCACAACATTTACCAACACACAAAGCTACCATTAATGAGTGAATATGATATGACAGATTGAAGTCCAATGAGTTCCCATAAAGAAGAAATTTAGAATCTTTTGTGGGATTACAACGGTTTGAATGTTGCCCTAGAGATGGACCTAAACGAATAAGACACCAGCAGGAACACATCATAGTCCCATTTTCTCTCTTAAGAATTAAATCTGCAATATGTATTATCTAAAATCTCAAACCACGGGAAAAAATGCATCGGCTTGAGTAATAGTCTGTCACAACAAAATGGAGTCAATATTTGTAACAATTACCAGCACAGATGTCCTCCATTGACTATTAACCATGTGCTTGGTTTCATGATTATTGATGAATCAATAAGATTTGATAAATTCCTATGAATTTTCATAAAGAAGAAAAGTAATAACTATGGTGAGATTGTGATGGATAGAATGTTGCCCTAGAGATGGACCTGAACATCAGTTACCAAGAGAAGGACTAACATCACCAAAGATGTTGAAGTCAGTCACGATGAACATGGACGTCTCCACCTTGAAACTTTGTTGTGCATGAGCAGCACCATTGTATTGTACTTTGTTGTCCATGTGCAACACCGTTACATCGCGAATGCAACTTTTCAATGCAAAAATGTTGCATTCCCGAAGTAAAATGGTTACAATGTTGCATCTCGATGTATGCATATAAAAAAAATATTACTTAATCACTAACTGAGTTATGAAAAACGATACCGGACAATAGCACACATTGTGGGCATGCAATTCTCCCAAGCAAGGAGGCAAGTGAGCATGTGTGTGTGTGTGTTAGAGAGAGAGAGAGAGGGAGAGAGTCTGTAAATTGCAATTTCGTCATAGTGGAAAATTTTGGAAATTCAGTAAGACCAAAACGAGGCAGTATTTTCAAAAAAAAAAATTGATTCCCAACTCAAACAAGAAGAAGAAAATTTCAAGCTGAAGAGGTACGTGATAACTCTTCAGAATCACCAGTTATACTGATCCACGAGGCAGCATTCTCCAATGGGCACTACTACAGTCATCTCATCAGTGTGTTTGTTTCTAAAACTAATCCTTTGTTGTCTTTGTTTCTAATAGTAATCTTTCTTAAAATCGACTAACGTTGCTGAACATTCTGTTTGGAAAACCATAAATTCTATAAATTTTCAAAATAAATTCTATAAATTTTCAACTTTGTTTTGGAGTTGGACAGAGTGTTCTCAATAAACAATGAGCTGAGCATCGTTAGTTGATTTTAAGAACCAGTACTTAGCATGATAAAAAGTTGAGCACTAGTCGTCCCTTTTTGCTGGTATTCATTAGTCCAGAGAGTTAAAGTTTAGAAGTACAGGTACTCATATATAGCACCAGCACGCTTGACAACAGAATGCAAAAGATAAGTTTTCTAATTTCTGAAAAATGACGTACAGTGTTATAACACATCTAAATCTTTCCAGGCAAGAATCTAAATTACTTTGAATGCGAATAAGGTTTTGCATGCATATATTAACACATCACCATTAGGTCTTATACAAAAGGAGAAATCAAAGGGAGGGTAGGGGTTCGAGCCTAAGTGGAAGCATGTGTGTGTGCGTACCAACTCCGAAAAAAAAGAGAGGAGAAATCAAAGTTTTGAAAAAGACTACTTAAGGCTTGGAGAGGATGTACTGGGGCCCAAGTCCAATATGCTTGGAGGGTGACGCCCGCGTTTACGGTGGGCCTTGTGGAGGGAGAGATATAGGAGGTCCTTTGATAGAGAGAAGACTCCTGGTGGGTGCTAAAGGTCTCTATTATTAGCTCTTTACTTTTTGGGGTTCTTGGGAGGAACTATAAATCTATAGGAGAGTTTGTGGATTTTGTGGATATGTTGAGAGTTTAGGAGCCCTATTTGGCCCATGTGTAGTTGTTTTGGGATGCGCTCCCCAGTTGAGAGGCTTTAATAATACTGTACTCATCAAAAGATAATAATAATAATAATAAAAAGAAAAAGAAATGCTTCATCCTTTTGAGTGAGGCGCCATCCTTGTGAGATTTTTCTTTTTTCTTTGTTTCTTTCAAGTGTCTTAAAACAGCTTTTATTTGCTACTCCCTCCATCACAATTTATTTGTCCATCTTTCCTTTTTGGGTTGTCCCAAAATACTTGTCCACTTTAAAAGTTCAAATAATACGCTTCACATCTTTCCATAAAATACCCTTAAACTTGATTATATATATTCAAACTTGAAAGGGTAACTTAGTAATTTTCTAAGGGAACAATCCAATAATTACATGTCCCATTAACAATACAATAATAAGACAAACTAGGTAAAAAAAAAAAAATGCAATAATAAGACAAGGAAGATTAGTTGTCATAGAAGGTAAGAAACGGAGAAGGTGACCAAAAATAACATGGTTAGAAGTTATTAGAAATAGCTTTAAAAAGTTAAGACATAGTAGGTGAAATGGCGTGTGACAAAAAAGAATGGAGATAAGATAATACATGTGGCTGACCCCATTCATATGGCAATAAGGCAAGGATGATAATAATGACGACAACCCGACGCCTAGCAAGATCAGGTCAAAGATTTCTTCTGCATGGAGGATTGACTGAGCTCCTACACTAAGCCCATGGTACCCCGTGTGGGTTAAATAATAATAATAATAATAAATAATAAAATTTCCTCTGGGCTTGATTTTTACTTTCAAATTTGTTATATTTTGTGTGGCTGTGATTGCTAGTTGTAGAAAATAAAAATTGTGCATTAAGAAAAGCCAACATGTTCAAATTTCCCCTCCTCCGTTGGTTTCATACATGACAATCCTACACTCCTATTGGGTCTTCCACTCACAACCCTCTTTGTATAACAGTACTGTTACCAACATAAGAAAACAATTTCCATGCGAATTTCATATTAGCTAATATCTAGAAGTTTCAAGTTCTACACCATGAACTTCAAAATGCAAACATCAAAAACACCAAATTGTCCAATGAGTTGAACTTTTCAATTAGAAACCTACTGGAGAAATTATACACATCTAGACAAAGGCATTCACACACAAAAACATTTAAGATAAAAACTCTTTCAGCGAGGTGTATCACTTTAGTTTGGCATTTCATCGTAAATAATGATTTTAACTTGAGATTCAAATCTTCTTCATAAAGAGTTGATTTAAATTAAATATTTTTAATTGATTAAAAACCCATGTGTTGCCAAAAGGCTATATAAGAGTAGCTAGCATTTAATCATTTCCAAATAAGCAAATAACATCTTTGAAGAGCTTAGTAGTTTCCTCGCACGCTCCTCTTCTAGTTTTCCTAAAATAATCATATAGCTAATATCTAAAAGTTACAAGTTCTACACCATGAACTTCCAAAATGCAAACATCAAAAAAACCAAATTGTCCAATGAGATGAACAGTACTATTACCAACATAAGAAAACAATTTCCATGAAAATTACATATAGCTAATATCTAAAAGTTTCAGGTTCTACACCATGAACTTCAAAATGCAAACATCAAAGACACCAAATTGTCCAATGAGATGAACTTTCAATGAGATGAACTTTTCAATTAGAAACCTACGAAATTATACGCATCTAGACAAAGGCATTCACACACTTGCAAAAACATTTGAGATAAAAACTCTTTAAGCGAGGTGTATCACTTTAGTTTGGCATTTCATCATAAATAAGGATTTCAACTTAAGATTCAAATCTTCTTCATCAAGAATTGATTAAATTAAATATTTTTAATTGATTAAAAACCCATGCGTTGCCAAAAGGCTATATAAGAGTAGCTAGCATATAATCATTTCCAAATAAGCAAATTTACCTCTTTGAAGAGCCTAGTAGCTGACTCGCACCCTTCTCTTTTAGTTTTCATATAATAATCAAAGTAACTATCATACTGTGTAGAACCTGCAAAGAAAGTTATCAACATGATATACACATGAATGAGAGAGAAACTCACAAAGAGAACATATGTAACTGCAGCCAAGAGAGAAAAAGAAAAGGCGCAATGCAACAAATTTATATCGTATTCTTGGATAATGACACTGGGAAATACACAAGGCCAAAAAGAGCCTCTAAGCCTTCAAAGAGGCCAAAAAATCAACAATCTCCTCTAAAGATCTATAATTTCTCCCTGAAACCCAACAAAAAAGAGGGGAAAGAATAGAGAATTTAAGCATAAAAATAGGTATTTCCTTTCCTTCGAAATATCTCATATTCCTCTCGAGCCAAATACACCACCACACACAAAGAGGCGTAGCCCTCCAAGCATCCTGACTATGAGCCCCCACTGTACAACCTCTCCAAGCCTCAATCAACCCTCTAGAAGATCTAGGCATAACCCAGAGAATCCCAAACAAACCAAGCATCAAATCCCAACAATCCCTGGCCATGGTGCAATGTAAAGAAGGTGATCCACTGTCTCCTCATCACGAAGGCACATGTAACAATGATTGATCACCACCTGTTTTCTCCTCCTCAAATTATCCTGGGTTAAAATCTTTCCCAATACAGAGGTCCAAGCAAAGAAGGCCACCTTGAGGGGAGCCTTGGAACACCAAATAGACTTCCAAAGGAAAGGACCTCCAGGCTCTTCCATGAGACACCTGAAGAAGGACCGAACATCAAAACAATCTTGAGAGTTAGATGCCCAAATTCAACTATCAGAATCCTCAGCCATAATCACCTAGCGAAATAACAACTCCAAAAAACGAGTGGCATCCTCAATCTCCCAGTCCTAAAAGAGCCGCCTGAATCGAACATCGCAAGACAAGTCTCCCGCTATCAAGATGATAACAATTGACCACCATGTCCTACATATCCATAGCAATCCTAAAGAGCCGTGGTAAAGGGGAGCCTTGGAACGCCAAACAAACCTCTAAGTTTTATTGTAATCATCTGAGCCTTCCATTGTAGTTTCAGAAATAAAACTGACCTCCCTTGTCAAAGGAACATTTCTAACAAATTCCCCCTGTCAACCGTCAGCCCAGTCAACAAGTGATTGTGTTGATGCCAGCAAAATGAATTTTTCTAATGTGAATTTTACCACTGGATCAGATAAAAATATCTAAGAAGCACGAATATGGATACATGACATTTATAACACAGCAAACACTTGGCAAACAGTGAATATATAAATTTATAATTTTTTATAAAAGATAATATTATAAGAGTGATATTAGTTTCCATTAACCTAAGAATAAAAATTCCACAAATCACAATAACTAATGAACTACAGAAACAATTCTCTCATTTAAGAAGAGGAAGAGAGAGAGAGACTGCAGCCTACAGGTTTGGCCAAAACTAAACAAAAGATAATAGTACGAGTTGGTCGTGATTGTTATGGTGCCATGCTCTGTGGTGCCATGCTCTGTTCGTCGAAGTGGGAGAACTTTGTGGTGGTTATGTCAGATCTGACGCAGATGAGACCAGGGATGCTGAAAGCGTTCGGATAATAGTACGAGTTGGTCGTGATTGTCCGAAGTTTGTGTATATCAACGACGACACTTTCTGCTACAAGGTCGCGATTTGGGAAGAAATTTCGCCGGAGCTTGTTCCTTCAACGGAAAGTCTTGAAGGCAGTGACGGATCTCATCTTATGTCGGAAGAAAAATGGAACGAGCTTCTTAGCAAAGGTGAAGAATGGATTCTCGAAATTCAACAGTGGCTGAAGGATCGTGAAATTCAGCAAAAGGTGAAGTTTATTGGAGGTAGACGACGAGGTGAGATTCACACGCCGAGCAAACGCGTCGTTGATGAGCAACACCGGTGTACACGTGGTGAACGGTGGGCTACCCCTTCAGATTCAGCTTTATCCTTATCTCTTGAAGATAAGGTAAGGAAGGATTATTTTCGGGCTGATAAAGGTTTTACTTTGGGCCATAAGTTATCAAGACAGGTTAGGAAATTTGGGCCTGATAATCATGGGCTCATTCAATCTCAACCTTACAGAGCGTATTTGGGTTCTGGGCCTGTTAGAAGAAGACTACAGAAAGGGCCACTAAGATTTGGTCAAACTGGGCAACTCCAAACTGGGCCTCTCAAGTCTGGGCCTATTAGAAAGGTACGAAAAGGGCCTAACTCATTATCTATCTCACTTACAAACATCAAACCTGGTCCTAATGAATCACAAGCCCATACCAAACCCTCTAATATTTGGATGAAATCCGAGAGGAGATTGACGAACGTCGGACGCCATGGATCTCGGTGGACTCGGAATGAAAAGCAGAAATGGGTCGCACGTTCTCGCACTTCTTCTCCAGGTTTGAGTCCTAATCTTTCTCTCAACACTCTTTCTACTTCTTCTCCTTCTTCTTCGGGTGAAGTGGCTAGCGACAAAAATGTTGTTGAGAATGTTTCGGGTCAACAGAGAAGTATCATTGGGATTTCGACTTCTAAATCAGAGTTGGACGTCTCAAAGGTTACTACCGAGAGTACGGGTTTTTTCAATGGAGTGACAGTTTGTGTTGGAAAAGATTTGCATTTCAAATTGAATAATGATTCAGCCGTAGCTTTGCTTAAAGAGCTTCGGCTATTTACTTCAGTTAAAGGTTTGAGCAATTTTTCATCTGAGCATGAGGAGTTTTCAGTAATCCCATCCAAAGAAGTTAATGCTTCGGAAATAGAGGGGATTTTACAGGAAGGAGAGGTTGATGTTGCTCTTCAGCAGCACCCTTTTAACGTATCTTTTTCCGGGACAGATCCTATTCACGATGAAGTGGACTTTATGGAACCTTTGGCTGTTGTGCGGCCTGATTGTTTGGAGACAACCACTGATCTGGGCATGGAATGGGTCATCGAGAATGTTGGAGCAGTTAGTGAAGCTTTGGGTGTCTCTGCAGAAGGTTATGAGGAACAAACCCTGTGTATTCTCCACGAAATTATTGCAGGAAATGGTAGCAGTGAACCTATTCGTGACACAAAGAAGTCAAAGTCAGAAATTCACATCGGAAAGGCGAACAGGAAGTGAAGAATTTGATTTCTTGTGTTAACTACGATGGAAAGAATGGGTCGACCAAAGAAAGGGGGAGAACCAGGAGTGGTAAAAGGGGAGGAGGTGAATTGATTGTTTTTGGTTCTTCACGAAGCTACGACTTATAACATGGAATGTTCGTGGTCTTAATGACCCGAAAAGAAGAAGAGTTATCAAGGTCGCTTTGAGGAAGTGGAGTGCTCATGTTGTCTGCTTACAAGAAACTAAATTGGCTGATATTACTGCTGAGATTGTCAGGAGTCTTTGGGGATGTAGGTTTGTGGACTTTGAAGTTTTAAATGCAACAGGCACTTCAGGTGGTATTCTCCTCATGTGGGATCGTAGATGGTTGTCAAGTTTGAACTGTTGGAAGGGTATTTTCTCGGTGTCATGCATGTTTCAGATGGAAGAAGACAATTTCAAATGGACGTTTTCAGGTGTGTATGAGCCTGTTACTGATAGTGATAAACCAGTCCTGTGGGAAGAGCTTTGCTTTGTTAAGGACTTATGGTCATTGCCTTGGTGCTTAGGTGGGGATTTTAACTCTGTTAGATCCCCATTTGAGAGATCCACAGGAGGTAGGTGGTCTTCAGAAATGACCATGTTTTCAGAATTTATTGACAATAATTTTCTTATCGATCTTCCGTTGGAAGGAGCGGCTTTTACTTGGTCTAATGGTAGGGAACCGGTTACTTTTTCTCGATTGGATCGTTTCCTGATTTCTGGGGCTTGGGAAGAGCATTTCCCGGATGTCTCTCAGGCTGTGTTGGTTAGAGTCACATCTGATCATGTACCTCTTGTTTTGGATTGTGGTGGTTTGAGATCTAGACGCACTCCTTTCAGATTCGAAAACATGTGGCTTAGATCTGAAGACTTTCAAGGGAAGGTTCAGTCTTGGTGGCAAAAAGGGTCTTTCACAGGCTCTGCTAGTTTTGTGTTAGCTAGAAAGCTTCAGTTTCTTAAAACTGAGCTTAAGAGATGGAATAAAGAAGTTTTTGGGAATCTTGAATGGAAAAAGAATAGAGCCCTTGCTGATATTGCTGAGCTTGATCGTTTAGCTGAGGTGGGACAGAGTAGGGAGTCTTTACGCTCTCAAAGAGCCTCTTGTCAAGCAGTTTTTGCTGAGATTGCTCATATGGAGGAGATTTCGTGGCGTCAAAAGTCTCGGGCTTTGTGGTTAAAAGATGGAGATCGGAATACAAAATTCTTTCATAGACTGGCCAATGCTCACAGAAGGTGTAATCATATCGGAAGTATTCGGGTTAATGGTTTTGATTTGTGGAGAGAAGAAGATGTGCGCGGAGAAATTGTTTCTTTTTACCAGCAGCTTTACACTGAAACTTTGGATCGAAGACCTACTCTAGATGGTCTTCCATTTAATACTATTTCTGCGATGGATAGGGATAGTATTGAGATTCCATTCACGGAAGAGGAAGTGCTTAAGGCACTTTCTAGTTGCAACGGGGACAAAGCACCAGGGCCAGACGGATTTACTATGCGCTTTTTTAAGGAGAGTTGGGAGGTGGTACGAGAGGAGGTGATGAGTACTTTTCAGGATTTTTATTCTCATGGCACATTTGAAAAATCTTTGAATGCATCTTTTATTGCTCTAATTCCTAAAAAGGGCGGTGCATCTGATATCAAGGATTTTCGGCCAATTAGCTTAATCGGATGTATGTATAAGCTTATTGCCAAGGTTCTTGTTTCCAGGATGAGTAAAGTGTTGGATGGTCTTATCTCAGAATCGCAGAACGCTTTTGTTGGTGGAAGGCAGATTTTGGATTTTGTTCTTATTGCTGGGGAATGTGTTGACTCTAGATTAAGAAGCGGGGTTCCTGGCGTTTTGTGTAAGCTTGATATCGAGAAAGCTTATGATCATGTTAATTGGAAGTTTGTTTTGTATCTTCTTCGGAGGATGGGATTTGGTGATAGATGG